AGTATTTTGTTATTTTATTTTTAAATTCTTCCTATGATCTCAGGAGATTGCACCATAAAATTATTTTTTGACTGTTCAGTATAACTTAAACTCTGCATTTGACAAAATACACCATTTCCACTGCTATCCTGTGTAATGGGGAAGAGAAATAAAAGTGGGAGAAAAAAATGAGACACAACCCAGCTCATCCTACTCCTAAATAAAAGCAGTAACTCCACACAGTTCAACCCTGACCATGGAGAAGCATGGGAGAAGCATCTTTCATAGGAAATGGGTGAGAAGGTTGCTTGGAAATATGGCACATGGAAAAATCAGCCCCTGATCTCACAGCTCAGGAGCTGGATAGCACAACAAGATATCTGAAAGGTGACTTGGGAGAACTTCATCTTTCACCCTCTGCTCTCAGTAGAATTGCTGCATTAATGCTGCCAGCCAAAGCTGGCTACATGACATGACAACAGCTAAAGCTACGAAGGATTCAGAGGTTCAGTTTATCTAGAAAACCGGTTTTCCATTTAAACATTGCTCATAAAACATTTGAAGTCTGTGCTCAAAGCCCTGCACTGTGAACAGAGAAACTGAAAGGGCAGATCAACCCTGGACTGTGCTGGACAGGACTCTATAAATATTAAAAAGTGAAAGCCCTGCCACCCCTAAACTGACTTCTCATCAGTGTAAAAGGAAAGCTCAAATAGCACAGCTCATGGGTTAGTGCCAGCTACAGAAACGATGACATCAAGGTTTTCCACGGAACTCTCAACATCTCGACTTTGCAGACCAGATGTGACCACATATCGGCGCCATGGTAAATCCTGTGACAAGCTTTTTCCCCACTCCCTAGAGCAGGAAATGAAACCAAAACAAATAGATTCTTCATGCAGAGGAGGACGTGAAATACAGACCATCCTCAAAATATTTCTGCAGCCCACAAAGCTCAGCTGTTTGTGCCAACAGGAAGAACCCCAGTGGACTAATTTCACCCTCGAAATGAAATGGGTGTGTTAGTGGCTCTTCTTGTAAAGGAACTGGAAGTGAAGGCAGCATTTTACCAAGCTACTTAAATCAGTCTGGTAAAAACACACCTATTTCTACATGAAAATGAATCTCCTTCCAGTTTCCAGAAGCCTTGTTCACCTGTCAGCACTGATTTGAGGCGTGTGTGTGTGTGATTTAACAGTTTACACAGTTATTCTGCTACTCGGGAGCAAAACAAAGACAGCAGGAAGTGACTGCTGAACCTCAGGAACTGCTTGCACTAAGGAATTCAGACACAGCCACTTTCTCGAGTGAGTGTGGAATTCCCAACAGGGTATTCTGCTGCATTTTGGATTGCTACAGAGTAAAGCTAAAGCTTAAGTGTTCTTAAATTATCAAATTATCTATATCCTTTCCCAAAGAAGAGAAAACTGGAAATCCCAGCAGAAAGGAAACTACTCTCTTCTACCATTAAAACCTGACCCTAACAACTCTTGCCAGGGGTTCTCTGTTATATTACTTTCTTACAAGTTTTCCAAAAGTCCTACTTTACATAAAAGATATACTTGACAATTTCACTGCTGGTTTCAAAAGGCTACAATAAAACTAAGCGTGGTAAACTTTCACTTGCTGATAAAGCTAGTAAGTATCAAGCAGAATTACTCAGGCAGGATTTCCTACCTGCGCTCTTGGCTGCACCAACAGTAGCAACAGCAGAAACAACGCTGTAAAAATACCCGTTTGCTTTTTACGTGGCTGCTGAGCACGATTACTGATAACTGACAGAAGTTGTTTGGTTTTTTTTAAGGAGCATCTGCAAGCTGACAGGCTGTATATCAACAGCAGCAGCCGCTTTTCCAAACTTGAGCAGAACCCTCTGGCCTGGCCTCTCCCCATGTACCCGGACGCGTGTCCGGAGCCTCCAGGGTCGTGTGGATGGTCACGGAGCCGGTGCCAGCGCCCACACCGAGGGCTCGGGGAGACCGACCCGCAGCAGAACCCCGGAGGTTCCCCCGCCTCCCTTCCCCCGGTGCCGACCAACCCTCCGGCCCGGACAGGCGGGTCCCTGGAGGGGACTCCCATTCCTGGAAGTGTCCAAGGCCGGGTTGGACGGCGATCTAAGCGACCCGGTTTACTGGAAGGTGTCCCTGCCCGCAGCAGGGGCTGGAACGAGACGGTCTTCAGCGTCCCTCCCTGCCCGAGCTATTCCATGATCGCTGCGGACGGATCGCTTCCTGCCGGCTCTCACCTCCTCGCTCTCCCCGCGGGACCCGGCCGCCAGCCGGGACACACTCTCCAGCACCTCGCAGAACTGCTCCAGGCTCACGGCCTCGTCGCCGCGGCTCAGCCGCTCCTCCAGCCATCGCACCAGCGCGCTGTGGTGCCGCGACAC